GGGAATTCTGGGAGTTGAAGTCCACCCATCTTAAAGTTGCTGAGATTGAGAAACACTGCATTAGGGCTTTCTCTTAGAGTTGCATCAGATTGTCACTTTTTAACAGAACTGGTGGACAGAGCCGGTCCTCCAAGTGGGGCTCATGCTGACGCCGGAAATGGCTGAATCGGGAGCCCATCATCTCCTGCAGAGAAACCTAGAACGTTCCTGCAAGAAATGAACGGTGGCTGAGCAGAAATACTTGATGGAAGGAGGCCTATGCAAAAGATACCAAAGGTAGAAACTCATCCTTTCCATAATTTATTGTGGTATTCTCAGCCAGCCTAACAAGGGGAAGAATGCACAGTTCTTCGATGCGTCTCCCTGTGACATCCACCTTCCATATTATAAGTAGATGGATTCAATCGCTGCCGTAATCCAAAGAAATACTAGATGTGGACGTGAGTGAAAAGTTCTGATGTCGTATGCTAGTTTCCCAAGAAAATACCGTGCTTTAAAAAAAACAACCCTTTAATCTCAAACAGAAAAGCATCAGTAAAAATGTTCATACATAAAGTAGCTTCAAAACTAACCTCAGCGCAAGTAGACCGTTCGTAAAAACAAGTTAGAAAGCAAAGTGTTAGTTTGATTCGAGGCACCGTTAGCTTCAGCAGGCAAGATTCTTCCTGCTGCATCCTTGTCACGTGGGAGCTTCTGTAGGAATTCACTGCACGAGGACCGTCGCCAACGAACATCAGATCTTATTTTCCTTCTGCCTTCATCATCTTGGACCCCCAGGTAACCCGTTCACGCCTCTCCCTTCTCTAAAGCCAAATTCCCTCTGTTTGTAGCCACAATTTAACTTTGTATTACTGTATATTTATACTGACCGACTCAGCAGGGCTTCACCCTTGGCTGAAATCTGCTTGTTCTTGTCTTCTCCCAGCTCCCTTGTGGATGTAAGATTATATTAATTCTTGCTCCTCCACAATTTCAGCTGTGACAGTCACAACTTTTTACAAGTCAGGTACAAAAGCACTCTTCGGGAAGGGCCCATGACTCGTTTCTCTGCATCCCAAGGTGCAGTTTTGATTTAAACATGTTTCTTCCTCCGTTCAAGTGTTTCGTAAGACCAGGTCTCTCTGTCTTGTGTGTACATCTGTTAAGTTGATGGTAATACAGTTGTGATACTAAATATCATCCACACCAATAAATTATTATCCCCTTGGCTTGATAAAAGCAGTGTCTGATTAAATTCAGGGTGGGAAAAAAAATGTTTCTCTGGTCTTCTCATTGCGCAACATTTAAAGCATTAAAAAAAAAAAAAAGTTAAAATGCGGAACAGCATCCTTAGAGCTTCTCACATTTATTTTTAGAATGGAAAAGAGCCAGCTCGGTTTCCAGGAATGCAGGCAGTGAAAAACTGCTTCTCAAAAGATGATGGGTCAAAGACAAGCAAACACACGCAGAGATGCAATGGGCACCTTCCTGGAAAGGTGAGAGAACTTGGGAAATTCCCTGACGGGAGTAAATGAACCATCCACTGGGATGAGGTGCAGAGAAGGCAGCCTTTTTCATCTTCTCCAGTGGAAGATGATTATATGGGAACAGTCGGGTGTAGCTGGAAGTCTCCGTGGGTCACGGCACACTTCTACGTCAACTGATCCAGCTGGTCTGAATCAAAACATGATTACGGCCATAAGGCCAGCTGTCAGATACAGATATGACAGATAAAAATGGGGGGGGGGGGAGATGAAACTAAAATCAAAGAAATGGATACAGATCTTCAAACACGAGATGGTGCAGAGAGGTGCAAATTGAGCAATCTGGGAGGATATATATCCAGAAAGGTGGTCAGTGTAGGGATCTGGAAAGACATGCCCAAAGGGATGATATATATGGGCTTCCTGTCCCAAGGCAGAAAAGGGGAGGCAGAAATGCAAGCCCTCAATGAATGCTTCTGATTATGTGGGCTCAACCACAGTTCCAGGGTGGATTCTCCTCTGATCAAGTTCTTAGCCTGCACGGCGTGGCGCTCTCGGGTGTTTCGACACGTGCCTTTCGTAAGTCCTTCGCTCCCCCGGAAACGTGTCACAACTTCTAGAGGATGTGCTGTTTCATTGGCTTGCAAGGACTTTCTACAAACCCTTCCTTCAGTGGGAAGCACCCAGTGAGGGAGATGATCTGGAAGCAGATCAGGAGAACCTCAGGGGATAAACCATCAGGGCCCTCCTGAGGTCGGTTAGGTGGCTGGAACCAGCGTCTCTTCTGGCAGCTGTATGTGGCAGGCCAGCCCTTGGCACCACCGATCCCAAGAGGGAAAACCAGTCACAGGGGAGCTAGGCTGAAAGAAACATGAACATCTACTTTAGCAGGAAAGAGGATTAGCGAGACGCTGGGCGTTTTCTACCTAACAGCGTCTTAAGAGCCATACCACTGTTGTTCACTCTAGTCTAGGGCATTAAAATAAGGTCTGGATTTTAAACTCAGCAATGTAGATTTAAATAATGAGAAAGTCACGCTCATGGCTGCTTAACATCAAGATTGGATCTTGATATGCTCTTACATCTTCTCAGATGGATGAAAAGCAGAAATCAGAATCCGTTTCCTGCTATTTAACCTACCTGGGACGAACAGGGCTGATCTTCCACACATGAGGAAGATACACCCTGGGGGAGGATGGCATTAAAGGCATGATCTCCTGAGTTTCAGCTCAGATTAGGGTGCTTCCATATTTAGCTACATTCTTCTTTTTTCCCCAGCAGAAGGGACCAAATCAGATGCATAAAATAAATGGGAACCCTTTGCAGGGAGCGGAGCAAAATGGAAAACTGCCTTTAATGCCATTTTTTAAAAAATCTCCCCCATCTCAGTGCTCTTTGCCGGATGCCAATTATTTTCCCCTTCCTGCTTTGTGATTGGGTCCTTTATAAAAAGGAGAGACACCAAGGATTAAAACAGAAACTTTCTGTGGGCAAAAATGTCCCAAGTTGTGGTCCACCCAGCTGTCACGAGACGAATGGGTTCCCCTTTCTTAGCTGAACTCCTCCAAACTCTCATCACATTGCACAACGGACGCAAACGAGACCAAGGTAACCACGTATGTCCCTGTCACGAAAGATTCAGGGACATGGTTGAAGTTTGGTTTATCCCACTGGATTTAGAGAAAATCTTGCAGCGAGAAGTGAAGCCAAGCAATAAAGAGGGGGAGAAAGGAACTGACTCACAGCATCATCTCTTCATTCTCGTCGACAAATCAGGAACCCAGCACTGGCTGGGTTTGTTTCTGAGTGCATCAGGAACGCCTTTTGTTTCTTAGAGGCAAAAGTCTGAGCCTCAGCACCACCTAGTGATCTAAAATAAAGTAGGAAAAGGTATCTGGGTGACCAGTGCTGAATGGAGGGATTCAGCTTAGGCGGTGCGGCAGGCGGTTGCCTCATCGGTGGGGTTTCTTCTCCTACTTTTTTTTTTTTTTTTGAATATGGCAAGCTGCTAAATGCCAAGCAAGAAATAGGAAGGAACAGGGAGAGAAAAATGAACATAAATTAGCAAAGCCACCATAAAATAGGCCTGCAGATTGCTATACGGACACAAGCCTGCACGTGGGCAGGAAGACCTACCACACCAGAGATTCCTTTACCAGGATGTGTATCCTCACTCTCAAAAGGGGGCTGCAAACTTCCATGTCTTTTAAGTCTGCATTATGCCAAAGACTGAGGTTCTTCCAGAATGGCAAACCATTCTCTTTCCTACCCAACTTCCTTTGCAATGCACAGTAAGAAAAGGAAGGCGGTATGGAGAAAGAGTAATAAAACAAACCCCATCTAAATAACAAAACTTTCTACTGACATAAGCTGTTCAGCAGAATCTAAGCCAGAATTCTTGGAAAATTCTACTTTTTTCCAGTGAGCAACCAATTACAAGCTGCTTACTCGCTACACGAAACTCATCACTGCGCAAAAGCTTAGTACTTCCCAACCCAGGCGTGTTGATTTCCTGATACACCTAGAGCTATGAAAAAGCTAGTTTCACGCTCTGCTCAAACAAAGAGAAGCCAGATTTCTACCTGAATTTTATCCAGATTCAGATGGAAATGGAATAATATTCCCACTCTATGACGAGCCGAGGAAACAGAGCAGAGAAGCAGCCTGAGAAAAACACTGGCAGGGTGGGATGCCAGACCTGATCACCCACTGTCACCTGGTACCCTGTCTAAGTGCCGGACTTGAGCTCCCGTCATCCCTAGCTGGGCCATCTGATGCCCGCTGAAGAACAACATTCTTGCAAGAGACCACCTGGAAGTTCCCTGGAACAGGAACAGGCAGCCTCGTGTCCCAAATTGCGTTTTATTCTACTGTACAATGAATCAAAGAGCGCATTGTCTACCAAATGGAAATACAAAAGCTAATGTGACAATTGCCTTGAGAAAACAAATGAAAGGATCTGGAAGAGAGACCATAACAGCTGCACCCCTCAATCCGGAGGGAAATCAAAGCCAGATGCCAGGGAAAATAAACACCCTGCTGAGTCATGGTTTAAGGCTCTCATCAGAGACCTATAAAATATAATTGATACACAGCCATGCTCCAAAGGTAAGAGCAGCAGACATCCCAGTATAAAGTATTTATTTTATACTCAACAATTAACACAAAGTCATCCTTTTTTTTTTACAGTAAATAAAAATGTATTATTCCCCTTTCATGCATGATCACCGTATTAATCTAAGCCTTTTTTTTTTTAATGTGAAAAAATAAAGTGTTCCCTCCTCCATTTCATCTTTTAATCATACGGCTAATTTCTGGTGTTGTGTGCATTAACGGAGACGAGATGCAGTGTTACGCAAAGCCTAGTGAGTGGTTTTTAGCTACTGGTAATTTTGTTCTTTATTTGTACATGAAGTGTTAAAATGGATCAATAAATCATCCCATCAAAATAAATAATGATAAGAACCCAAAGGTCCACAGCACCCCCTTCACCTAAGGATCGCTCTGCTTGTAACATGTCTTTCTTCATCAGCCAAAATGTAGCGGCTTGGGCAGGGCTGCTGTGAGATTGCTGGATGTTCAGACAAATAAATCGTCTCTTTAGGAGAAGAGAGGGATTTTAGGTGTAGTCCATAAAGGGCCACTGGGCATTCTCCTTTGACTAAGCTTTCCATGTTTAAGTTAAATTATGTATTTTAGAAAGGATTGTTGCCTTAAATCGTGCTCTGGCCACTTCTTGTTCCCCTTCTTCCTAGATTCCTCAAAGGCATCATTTTTTCTACGACGGATATGAATTTGGTACTCTCTGCTTGGGTTTTCAATGAGTAGCAAATTTTCTTTGGCTCATCTCAAAATTCATTTTTTTTTTTTTTGGCACCAGGTCTACAGAACACCTTCTTGAGCAGCTATGCCTGAATTTTCAAGGACACCCCCCACCTTTCCCCCCACCCCTTGACAATCAAGTCCTTAATCTGTTAATTTGCTGAAATAAAACGGTAGCCTTTAAAAATATAAAGCAACCAATGCGTGTTTCTGGTTTTATTCAGTGGGCCTGCGAGAGGAGAAAATACTGCTCGTAAAACAGTAGAGAAGGCGCCTTTTCAGTTCGCTGCCGGCAACTAAGGGTCCGCTAATGATCACACAAAATCAGTTCTCCTGGTTACCCCAGCCCATTGTTTTTTACATAAATAATATAGACCAAAACATTATGAACATCTCAGCAACCTTCTTCTTTTAAACATAACAGAGGGGCCCTTTAACCTGTTGAGAAACGACTGCAGGATTCGTTCCCAATGTCTTTTTTTTTTGTTGGTGTTGGTGTTTTGGGTGAGCACATGGTCGGATTCCGAGTGATTCTGGAAGAGCTCAATCCAGCTCAATGGGGCTGCTGTCTTCCTGCTGGTCGTCTTCTGTTTCCTCCTCTTCCCCAGCTACCATTAGGCTGTTTAAAAGATTGCCTAGGATGGAATCACAGGGGAACGAAAAGCGTTTAGGGATGCTCATTTTAGGATGGGCCCAGTCTCAAGAGCAAGATCCCACATTCTGGAGATGGATCAGGGGTGCTGAGTAAAAGCAAGGCGTGGTTAAGTGGGTTGTCTCCTGTGAGAAGGACAACAGTGGTGGACCATAATAAAGGAAGCGCACCGCTGTTTCACCTGCGAGCGGCAGCTAGCTTCCAAAAGTAAGCCACAATAGCTTTCCACAACATACAGATCTCAATAACAACAACAGTAATTTATTAAACTTGTACGTGGCTCACAACAAAGAAATTACAGTAAAATCCATAAAACATAAAGAAAAAAGATGGCCAGCGCGATGAAGTGAGGTGTCTCCCTCTCCCTCTCCCAAGGCCTGGGTGAAGAGACAGGTCTTCACGGCTCTTCTAAACCACAGCAGAGTGAGGGCCATCTGGATCTTGGAGGGGGGGAGCTCATTTTAGAGTGCAGGCATTGATACAGAGAAGGTGCGCTTCCGGGGTCCTGAGAGATAACATTGTTTAATCAAAGGAACCCGGAAGGCGCCAACCATCTAGTAAGATGCATTTAAACTTGCACAAAAAGTTTTCATTCGGACCCACCCATTACCACTCTAGCCATGTTAAATTAATAATGAGCCAGTAGCTTACTCTACACGTTTTCCATGGAGATAACCAGGTTCATCCTGTATCTTCAACTCACCTAGTAATCCACCATAGGATGACGTTTGTTTGGGGGGGACACCAAAGAAGAGCTGTCCTATTCTGTCTAGGTACTGAAGAAAGCACAGGGGAAAATAAATGTTACTCACGGCTCGTATTAGGCACCATGTACTCAGCCATCCACACTGCTCTGCCTACAGTATAAAACTATCTGTTTGTAATTAACGTTGGCTGTGATGTTGAGCTACAAAGGACATTTACAAAAGGACGTTTCAGGTTCAATGCACTTCTGGAACCTCAAGGCACACTGTCCTCATGCCTCTGCAAGCGCAGGACGGATTTATTTTAGAGGACGGATTGCTGAGATGTTTAATTGTAATCTGAATTCCCTTTTCGGATAAAAAAACAACCTGGAGACACACAAGTCTTCACTGCTTATCCTGGTAAGATGTTGAAAAGAAAGCAGATTTCCAAGAGATACATCTGGGTCATTGTGCAGAACAGCTTTCTCAGGGGTGAGCTGCAGCCTCTGAACTACTCGCTGGTGGAAGAGCTCTGTAACTCCTTACCTCCCACATCTTCAAGAAAAATGCTTCAAGGAGTTTTGCTTAGGAGTACCGGTAGATTCCCAGAGTTTATAAAGGTGTTTTTAAACAAGTCTGCAAATTAGCTGTCTAATTTCAACATGTGCTACCATTTGGGGTTCATCTTGCTCTGAATGGCTCAGAGCCATGCAATCAGGTAAAAAATAGCGACAGAAATAAAAAACGTGATGAAAAAATACAATCCCACATGGGATAACTTACTTCATTATACATGGGATCCCGTTTCAGGGAAGGCTGATATTGTTCACACAATACTGTAAATACGGTCAGCTTTCCTCTAAAAGAGAACAGACAACACACACCTGCCATGTGAAACTTGCTTGAAGAGTAAAAAAGGAAGCTTGTGTTCGATGGTTTAAGGAAACCCTTACCCGTCAACCGCCAGCAGCAGAAACCAAATGAAGTTAAGCAAGGGCTGTACAAAGGGTGGTCCACTTTCTATGGAAGGATGCTTCTGTGTGTATGTCGTAAAAACCACCAATGCGCTCGTTTTGTTTTTCAAGCAGAGGAATCTAAAACGGGAAATGACAACTTTTGAAGGAGACAAAACTGCTTCTGGAGAAGATCAACCTGTAGCTCATGGGAAGATAAGAAACAAATGCTCCCTGAGAAAGGTGCTCCCTCGGCTACTTTAGCGAGGGCGACCCCACGGACAAGGGGCAAAGAATAGCATCTGTGGGTCAAAAATCACAGCCGTGTTCTCACTAGGGAGCCTCTAGTTGCACCTATTCCCAAACAGGAAGTTAATCCAGTCAATCTGTCTCACCAGGATTATGTGTGTGAAGGCTTCAAATGTTTCAGATGCGTGCGCTAAATGTTAAGGCTAAATGTTCAGTGCTTACTCTGGAATGGGAGCTGAGCAGCTAGAACTATTTCCACCCAAGGCCATTCTCTGGCTGTACCAGAAAAAAAAAAGTTATCAACAACATCTCTCCACATCATTGCCATTGACTTCTCTCCTGGAATAATTATCTCATAGAAGGGAGAAAAATACCGAAGATACTTCTGATGGCATTTATTAAAGAGGGAGTCGTACTCCTACAGATAATGCTTGCTTAACAATCACTCGTTTAACAACAGTCCTGAGTTACAACAGCCTTGGGAAAAGTGACTTACGACCCTTGCGGTCACGGGATTGCGATTTGTTAAGTGGTGCTTAACTAGAGGAAGAAACCTACAGTCTACTTGATCATCTTGGTTCAACGTCTTGAAATCTTCTGGTTTAAATCAGCAAATAGAAACAAGGGACTACTAAGTCCAGACTCAGTAAGTACCAGAGGCAAACATGTAAACAACTGAAGGGAACACCTACTGTAACACAGCTTGAGCCACAAACATGTCCACTTCACTGCGATATCCCTTGGCTGAGGAATATTCTACCAACATATTTGCACAACCTTCTCCATCTGTGGAGTGCAGGAAGTGATAGCGAGATTCACAATAGTTCTGCTCTAGAAGAAAAGTTACATTAAAAAAAGTCAGCTTGGGATGGGTGTTTCTTCACCAGAATACAATGGTCAAAGCAATCTCTAGATGGGTTCATGCCTTGTACTTAATTGAGCGTGACAAACTGGCTTCCCGTGCTGTGTGAGTGCAGCCACTGGGGCTTCTATATTATGGCTTCTAGCTTGGGACAATGTATGATCCCAGCCATTTCTGGTTTATGGAACAAACCAAAGTTAAGCCATAGCTGAGCCCAATGCTTTTATCACCTAGGGGGGAGCCATTTTACTTTGGAAAAATACAGCAAGAAGTTTGAATGAGGTAAAAATACTTACAAGCGCCATAGAAAATGTAACTATATTTTAATTTCCTAGTCCTTTTGAGTGTAAAGAAAGCATCTTTTGACTTTAGTCTAGCAAAATGGTAGAAGCCTTCTCCCCACCTACCTCTACAGGTTCCTTTCCGCCAACATATTCCTTACACATTTCTTTCCCCACAGGCCATATTTGAATAAAGATACAAAATTGAGGAAAAAAATCTGGGTTTCCTTGGAAAACAGCTAGAAGATGTAGGGAGAAGGGGGCAGCTGCAGCATGAAATATTAACACAGCCTCGACCCTATAGTGAATTACAATATTCTGAAATGTATCTTAGAATAAATCTGCCGGATGACGCTCAATTTGCGTCTGAAAGGGATCAGGTGCTTAAAACCCTGCCAAGTTTCTAATTTATCTCTATGTATTCATCCTGGATTTCAAAATGAAGCAGACACTAAACTGGCATTAATCCAAGTTGCTATGATTCCTAGCAAGAAGGCAGAAGTCTGCAATTAGTGGAGCAATACTCTATGAGCCAAGGCCCAAGTAAGGTCAGTGCACACCCTCAGAAACTGTAGGCCAGGTTTCAAGGAGATTCTTTATATACCCACTAATTTGCACATGTCTAGTGGATTTCTGACTATAGGCAGTCCTTGTTTAGCAACCACAACTCAGTTGTTAAGTGGTCACTAAGTGAAACCGTAATGGTGCTTATGATCTTACTTCAGCTTTCCTTTGCTTTGCAGACCTGCAAAAGTCGTAAATGTGAGGATTGGCCGCAAAGTTACTTTTTCACCACTGTTGTAACTGTGAATGGTTGCTGAATGAGGACTACCTGTGTCTCCTGCAACCGTAGATAGCTTTGGAAGTCCTTTGACCTCAGAAGCAGCTTCACAGGGGCATGGAAGATGTTCCCCCACCAAGGCTCCACTGGCACATGCAATTCTAAAGGGTGTAAATCATGTCACAGGGCTGGCAATACTCGAAAAGCAAGCAGCTCGGTGACTTAAGGGCCAGGCTACAATCAGGATTCCCACCTTTCCATAACGTGATAGCCAGCAACTGGTGTAATTTTGGATGTCCCAGCTTCCCTGATCCACCGCTGGACCACTTGAGTGCTCTGGACACAAAAGCTACTCTTTCAGGTGAGTTTTGATCCATCAGACTGAACATTTTTGCCAGGTTCTCTAGAGGCAATTACAAGAAGCGATGCTTAGCACATTAAGATAACTATGCCTTAAAAAAAGAAAAAGCTTTAAATATATAGCAGCCCCACTCCCCCCAATTCTCACAGATGCTTGGCTGAAGCTTCTTCAAAATAATCTGATTTCTTTAGACAGAGCCACTGAATTGATCTCTCTGCTGCAAAATCAGGAGCCATTTCCTCTCCTAACAGGCGATGGAGGGAAAAGCTTCTTTAGTGCAAAGGCTTAACCTTCTGAAGCCCTTGGAGAGACACCTCCCTTCATTTGGAAGATGCTGCCAAAGAGCAAAGCCTGGGGTTGCAGGACCCAGGCTGCAGGGGACTCCAGGTGAGGTGGCAGATGGGTGACTCTTTCTCCTGGCCTTGATTCTTGCTCACAAGTCCCTTGAGATAAGCCATCAAGGTGGGAGGGGAAAGAAAAATAAAAGACACTTCACATGAGTTCCAGATGGACGGCTCCAAAAAACAGGCTTACTGAAAACTTGAGGCTTACGAAATCAGACTGTCTAATAAGCCACAGACAAAACGGGTGACTTGGGCACCAAGAGCTTCAGCGAGTGGACAGCTTGAAGAAGTGGCTGTCCATCAAAACAGCAGAGAGGTCAGTTATTTTGCAGACCTTACGGCTTCTGCTTGTGTCGAGGAGAGGACAGGGCCAGATATCACGCTCTACCTAGAAACAATTCTTCAACACCTACAAACATCTCTTCAGAACCGTGGGCAAGTCATTAATACCCGCCAAGAATATTTCTCTCGGGATTTCTACCCACGACAGCCACGGATGTGTTGAGAGGCAGCATTTCAGTGGATTAGCAGGCAGAAAACAGCGAAACAGCAATTCACCTTCGTAGCTCGCTTGGAACCTTTTAGAGGAATCCGTCTAACCGCTTTAGGAATGAGATTGCTGAAGTAGATTTAAAAAGGCCTAATCCTCAGAAGACAATTTCCAAGCGCTCCCAGTTTCAGATGTCAGGCCAACCATAGTAAAATGGAATTGGAACACAGGACGTTGTTGGTTACGTGTCACGGTTCTCAGGGTCGAACAATAAGAGGAAAAACTGGAGAAAACACTCACCTAATAGCTCATCTGTTACTTTTGCATCTGATTTCTCCAAAGACTCAAGAACTAGCATGGATAGATCAGCAGCACTGTTTTGCTAAAATGAAACAGGAAACATACCAAGTAGAAGCACTTGAACAAAATCATGGGAAAGGGAAAAATGACCTCTGGAAAAAATACCATTTGGAAAAAAGATCACATCATTTTTATCATTTATCATTTGTAAATTAAATATGGCTGGGTTTAGGGTGCAGGGCAGCAAGAGAAGGTGTAAGGCTACAGAAAGGTGGCAGGACCAGGACGTCTGAGGGTTGCAGGAGGCAATGTGGGGAGAGAAGAGAAAAAGCAGAAGAGCCCCAGAGAAACTAGGCTCACAGAATGGGTGTTTACGTGGGCATGCAATAGCAGCCAGATGGAGAAAAGGAATGCATGAACCAGCCTTGTATGCAGGCGCCCACCGAGACACACTCACAGGGGAAGAAACTGCTCCCACATGTTGTGTTTTGGCCAGACACTCTACAGAAGTTTATTTCTGAGGCGTCAGGGGCCCTTTCTTAAAACCCCACAAATGCCCATGGCCTCCAAAAGGTTGGAGGCACCTGCGACATGCTCTGGTTCGGGGAAGGGGGAGAATCAGAGCAGCTATGCCAGGGCTGTTCTGGGGCTCGGTGTATTGTCTTAAAATATTTATGGAGCGGGCCAGTAAGGCTGCCTCTTTTCAAATTTCAAAGGGCTCCTGAGAGAGATGGTGTACCCTGGAAACAGGTATCCTGCCACCTTGCTGCAAACGGGCGATGGGCATCTCCTCCTCCCACCTACTTCTCCGTGCCAGTTATTTACAGAACCACAATCACATAGTTTGGAATCAGTCTTACTTGATTATGACTGAAGAACAGCAGAGCACCTGAATACATAAGCTCCCTGGCTTCCACGTGTTTGCCCTGTGACATGTACCTGCAAATAAAAAGACTTTCTTTAAAAACAACAACAGGTACTGCAAAGGGACCAGCTCCGAGAGGCTTGGGAACTTCATACAGAGCCAGTTTCAGTATTTCAGCTGCAAGAGGCAAAATGAGGAATCAGATCGGTGGAATCAGAATGGATTACCTGCCTCTCTCAGCAGGCCAGGTTGCATATTTACCTCTTAACAGGAGATAATGTCTACATTCGAGCCCCCTTTTGTTTGAAAGACCCAAAGAGTCCTTTCTTACAACAAAGGCGGCTGCAGAAACACCTTGGTGCTACTTGCCCCTGACTAGTCTTCATACTCCCAGAGGGAAGACTTGGCTCCTGTCCATCGACCAGAAGATGAAGAGCTCCCTCTCAAGCCACTAGAGCATTGTTTCTCAACCTTCGCAGCTTTAAGAGGCATGGACTTCAACTCCCAGATTTCCCCAGCCAGCCATGCTGGGTGGGGAATTCTGGGAGTTGGAGTCCACGCCTCTTAAAGTTGCGAAGGTTGAGAAATACTGCATTAGAGTGTCAATATTCATCACACAAAATGGACTGCAACAGTTACAAACCTCCCACTAAGCTGTTTGGCAGAGTCTCTAGCTTTTCTACTGAAAATATCTGATTTCTTTGGGCAGCTTTTCTCCCTGTAGGACTAAGTGCCTTCTTCAGCTATAGCTGCTGATACCAGCCTGGGAGGAAAGGAGGGGAGCACCCTTTTTGGGGAGACCAGGGTAGATAATTGAGGAACGGGTGCCTTGGCTTTTAGGGATCCCCAATCCAGAACCAGATTTTATCAAACTGTCCGTTTCCTGCCCCTGCAAAATTCAGTGCAGCCCCTTGCTCTTCCAGTTTTCCAAAGCTGTCAAGCTGCTCGGCGACGCTAAATACTTCAACAATGAACATGACGCATATCGTGATGGGGGCAGCCGTCATACTGTTCTCTTCCTTTCTCAAATTGCAAAGCTGGGGGGCGCATGCAGCAAAGCAGCACTAACAAACACTGAAGCTGAGACCGCAGCAAGCTAAGTCAGACGACAACTCGGTTTGATTTTTATGTGCCAAACCAGAACTGGCAAAACAGATATCCTTTTCCTCCTTCCCTTGGCACATGGGTACAATGAAGCTCTTGCTGTATGGATCACATGCCCACCTAACTGCACTAATATTAGAGAGGGAAGAGGAGGAGGAGAGATACAAAATGGTCAGAACAGGGGACCAGAGAGGTTCGCAGCCTGTATATATGTTTGCAGAACTGCTGCTTGGACACACCCTGAGAAGAATTCAGTAAAGAATCTTTGCCTCGCCACAGAATCAGTAACATTTGTTCCATGCACTGCAAATGCGCTGAACATCCCCTAGAGCGACGTACTCTTTACACAACAGATTGTAATCCATGCACTTTTAGCTCCAGAGCTTCTAGAATAGTAACTTAGTGCCTTCAAACAGCCTTGACAGATCTGTGGCAGAAAACACGCTACTAGAGGACTGCACTATTTTTTATCTCACAGTACTACTTAAGCCCCCTTTGAACACTCTGTCCACTTCTAGACCTCTAGGATGAGGGAGAAACATAGAAAGGTGGTGTTCCAAGGAACATGAGGGCCTAGAATCCCATCTGCAAAATTTAGCAAGGAGAGTACCACAACTCCTTAAAAAAGCAGAGAAGAATCTAATTGTGTCCATTGTATTATTGCCAAGAGCGAAACCTGAGGGAGCCAGCTTTAATTCTTACAGCTAATAACCCTGTGGGTCAAAATCACGTCTTCTTTGTTTCTCCTTCTGTATCCTTTTACATCCTCCAATCTACCTTTCTGAAATATTTTTTTTCTCTTCCCAAGGCAGAGATTCCTTTTGCTCATTCTGAGGTCCAACTAGGAATCATGGAGCCAAGTGTTAACAACACGTTGGTATCACAAAATCTAAGCAGGGAAGATAGCACTTCTGACCTCATTTTCAAATCAAGGACTACTGTCACTGTTTCAGTCGTCTCAGCTATTATTTCCAAAATAAAGAAGGGTGTAATTTTCAGGGGGAGAATTCACTTTTGCCACTTTCTTACTACCAATCTTTCCGTTCTTTTTATGCACGAGTTCCTCAACTTTAGAGCTATGTATAGAATAAAATTGTTTGAACAATATCCTGTGAAATCAATCTCAGCCAGAAAATGGCACTTTGCCTGTTCCAATTAGTTACAAGACACAGAATTACTTGAAATAAGCACACAAATGTATTTGCCATATTCCATTTAAAGGTCGCTAAATTCCACCTGTCTTGGCACAGAATGTGTGCAGCGCATACTATTACAACTCAGATCATGGGTTAATTATAATCTTGACTGTTAAGCATTTAAACAGTGAATAATTCATCACTGCTCTAGAATACTGATACAGCTAAGAACACCAAGTTCATTTTTTTTTTTTTTTGGTCTCAAATCAGGAGCTAACTGTAGCTGGTTTTGGTCTTTTCAGAGTTCTATTTTATGGAAGCTATATAGCATTAATAAAAAAGATAAGCTGTAAAATAGCTCTCTCCAAGCTATGTTGGGAATACATTCCCCAGAACTTCCAGTTAACAAAGACCAGTGAAAGTCTGGGAGTTGTAACATTATCAAGAAAATACCAGATTGGGAAAGGCAGCTGAAAAGTAATTTTGAAAAGTTCCTGTATTTATGACTACTAGACATGTTGACCGTGCCTTACTGGAACTGTAACTCCCAAGAACATTGGACTCCCATATCTTGCTGAGAAGAACAAACACCCTCAACTTCTTCACATTAGAGCAGTGTTTTTCAACCTTGGCAACTTTAAGAGGTGTGAACTTCAACTCCCAGAATTCTATGCTGGCTGGGGAATTCTGGGAGTTGATGTCCACACCTCTTAAAGTTGCCAAGGTTGAAAAACACTGCATTAGAGGGTGTAGCAAAACTACTGATCAGAGATGTAACCAATATTATAGCTATGTATCCAGAGAGAAGATGGTTGACTTCTGCTGTTGTCCTTTAACACATCACAGACACTACCACACAAGAAAACCCACTGCTGTTCAAACTATGACAATGACTACAAAAGCTTATTGGACTTGCCACAATGAGGCCTACTTATTATTTTACTGCCCACACAGATTGAAAATCATTCCAGAAGCTCAACAAAAGAGAAGCTGGCATCTCAAGCCAACTTTCCCACCCATCATACTCAAGAGTGATTTTGGTCTCTTCTTCCTCAGAGCATAAAAACTGCTCTTTCAGTCGGACCACTGGGTAGATATCTACACTCCTTTGGACTCTGTCTGGTAAAGTCCAAAAGCCAATATTCTAGCTTCTGGTTTGGAAAATTTACCCGCAGAAACTGCTGAACCACTCCCAGAATGGTATGATTTGGAGGTGAAATATTCTCTTCTCCAAATGGTAATTTTGGTCCATCCCTACAATATTTTCACTGAATTCACAATGTCAAACCTCCCCTGCTCCTGATTCCTAACAAGGTTTCCTCTATTTGGTGTGACAAGTACAATGAGTTTTGGAGCCTTAATCCATTTTCCATCTTGCTATCAAACCCTTCAGTTTAGAATCTCAAAATCTTCCTTCTTCTACAGGCTCCCTATCACTCCTTAGTGAATGCAGAATGTATATAATATTTAAATTCTCCACTGTTTTAACCTTATGTGAATGACAAACAATAAGAGCATGCAGATTGAACTTTCTGGGAGCCGCAGCATAGCCGTTCAACTCTCTCCCCATCCAGTTTCATTAGAAGTCCAACCATAAGTACCTCTGGGAAACTTTATCACTACTTAGGCTAACTTATAATTTGTGGTAGTGAAGATTTTCAAAAGCACAAACCTCACCCTAATTCTGTGCCTCATTTTGTTGTTTACTATTGTAAACAACAAAAATTTGTTGTTATAATTTGTTGACAGCTGCCCCAAGAGAAAGCCAGTTCAGCAATTCAGTTGAACAGTTTGGAAAGCTGTTAAATCTATTGTAACACAATCAGAGAGATGAACACCATGATTCCATGTCTGCTTATTCAGAATTAAGTAACACTGCTTTCAAAGCGACTTACCTCCAAATAAAGACTAACAGTTTTATTGTGGCATGAATTTTGACAAGCTGGAGTCCACTTTGTCAGATGCATCTGATGAAGTGAGATCCAACCTACAAAAGCCTACAGAACAATAGATTTCTTAGCCTTTAAAATAACTTGCATCTTTCCCTTCTCAGGTATCACTAAGACAGCCACCCTCAACTTAGTGCTCTCCAAATATGTTGTACAACTACAGGAATTTTCAGCCAGTAATGCCACAGGCTTGAAAACTGGAATAGCGTAATCTCAACACAACAGTAGAACATCAGTTTGGAGAAGGCTGTATTAAGTTGTTACTCCCACTGTAAAGAGATAGAATTAGCAAAATAAAATCTTGCTTGATCACATCAAATTTTTTACTTTGTCTAAGGTTTTTCTACCTGTGAAAAGGACATAAACAGGATTCTCATTTGGTCCCCAAAAAATCAATTCCTTGGGGGTCATTTTTTTGAAAAACAAGTGTATCTAATTTTTTCCAAAACAGCTTAAGGTGGCACCAGGGACGTTATTTTTTTGACATATTCATCACATCTTGGGTGAAATAATGCTACTCTTTTGATAGGTTCTTAAACTACCAACATCTACTTGGTGACTTACGAGATAGCACTACAGTATGGAAATTTCTAGAACAGCAGGCAAGCCAGTCTCTTACAAAGAACACCTCAAACACGGTAGAAATACTGCTATTGGGAACAGTTACTAGTCTTATTTTATATGTGCTCAAGCTTTGCACGGATGTTGTACATATTCTGTTCCAAAGGCTTTTCACCTCACTTTTCATTCTCCCATGCTTTTAGACAAAAACTATATACAGTAGAGTCTCGCTTATCCGACATAAACGAGCCGGCAGAACATCGGATAAGCGAAAATGTCGGATAACATACAGTAACGATTGAGTGCGGTAAAAACAAAAAACAAAACCGATCCGCTGCGCCTGTTGCAATCGATTTTTGCGTTGCGGCGCTGCACCGTCAGGAGCACCCAGAAAGAGAAAACTCACGCTCGCAAACACGTGG